CACAGTGCCACTTCTGGCTTCTTTCTTTTTGCTTATGTGGTGCTGAGGAATCGTACCCAGGGCTTCATGCATGCAAGGCAAGCGCTCTACCACTGAGCCACCTTCCCAGCCCCTGTACATCATCTTTATAATAACAATAAAAAGTATTTAATCATATAAAAAGAATACAAAGAAACTGAAATAGTTGTGCATTTCACCATAGATAAGTCCAGTCATGTATTTCAGACATGAATTTCTCTGAGTGGTAAACTAGAGGACAGAATGTTTCTTGAACAAAGTGACTACACTGGGTTATAGGGTAATTTATCTGACTCAATCAGGTGTCGAATTTTAAAAAACAGAACATTATATCTTTGAGAAAGGAGCAGACATATATCAAAATGTCTTTGCTATTTTTATCTAATTTCTGTTTGACATACATCAATATTATTCATGATTCAAATGTTTTCCTCTTTTATGACTAAATGTGCTAAAATAAGAAAAGTTTCTATAGGTATCATATTGTCTCTGATTTTAAAGTAATTACTATACACTCTTCAAGTTTGTGTAGTCTGCAAAAGATTAAAGGTACTCTTGATGTTTTAGTGGCCTCTATTTGTAATTCTTCAGTTCTGTCATTAAAGACCGTTGATTTCTTTCATCTCTATTATTTTCAGCAAGAACAAGTTTTCCTAATCCTGTGCTATGAGGTGTGTAATAGTCATACGTCTTCATTTTAATGACAATGTAGCTAAAAATCAAATCAAGATATCTAGTTAACATTGTAAAGCTTCTGGATTCAAACAAATAACTCATGTATTATCCTTACCATCCAACCATTAGACTGTGATGTAAGAGTCACAAAATATAAGACTACCAATCCATTATGTGATGGCTGCAAGCAGAAACTAATTTTATATAAAATTATCTTGTTCACTGGGCTCTGGTGGCTCATGCCTATAATCCTAGGCTGAGAGCTGAAGATTGTAGTTCAAAGCTAACCTAAGCAGGAAAATCCATGAGACTATTATTTCCCATTCATTTTCAAAAATACCGCAGTAGAGTCATAATAGCTGAAGTGGTAAAACACTAGCCTACCTGGGCAGTGCCCAAGCCCTGAGTGCCCAAGCTCAGGACCAGCATACACACACACACACACACACACGCACACACACACACACACACACACACACACACACACACACACACACACACACCACAATTACTTTGCTCATTTTTAGCTCCTCTTCTCCTTGTAGAATAGAAACAGAAAAAGAGGACAGAGTAAACAGCCATTTTTCCTTTCTAAATTAAGCTTTTTGAGGTTAAACTGGATACCATAAGAGTCAAGGAGGACTGGGGCACTCAGATATTGGCCAAAGATTTTAACTGGAGATGAACAAAATTTAAATAGTCAACTTTCAGAGAGACTTGACAGTGTGAGCTCTGCTTGAGATATAACCAGCATACAAGAAGGGAAGATTTGCTACAGAATATTTATTACCTGTGATTGGTGCAAACATAATATCACATTATTCCTCATTCAGCTCTAAGTATTTTATAGTCCATTAGCACTATTTCTATAAACCACTTGACCAATGCAAATGGATTATGAAATGAATCAAGTTGAGAACTGTTTCTTTTTCATGAACATAAAGTGTTTCACAGATGATTACTCAGACAACTGGCTTGCCTGTAATCAGCACCCATCAATCTTCACTTACTGTTTTAACACTTAGACCCTGCCTTGGGTTTGTTAACACCAACTGTTGATTATTCATAGAATACACAATGTTTCTCCCTTTCCTTTCATTAAGTCTTCTGAGTTTGACACTGCCCTGATCACAGGACATCATTATCACATCCATCCTCATAATGAGGAATATTTCACACTCAGTCACTGGGGAGATGGCCTACTACTTAGTGAACTTTTTAAGTGCGTCTTTGAGGAGGTAACAACCTGTAAGCTAAGGGACAAGTGCAGAAGTGACACTGAAAACTTTAGATGATGCAAGAACTAGAAAAGTTTTCCTGGGTATTGTGTCTTGGTGTTAAAATCACAAATTATTTACTGAAGATGATTTTGTGAACAACATTGGAAAAGAAATATGTATGTCTGGTGATTTCTGCTTTGAACCACATCTGACTTGTTAGAATTTAAAAGTATTTGTCTGTAACGTAAGCAAGCCTCCAGCAGCAGAAACATGAGCAGCAATGCCTCCCAGCCAGGGTTGGAATTTGCTATGACAATGTGAATGGATCCTGTATCAAGTCTCCCTACTTGCCTGGACCCAGGATGATCCTTTACTCAGTGTTTAGCTTAAGGGCTCCTGCTTTGGCTTGAACCATGATCTTGATCAAATCGGTATGATCCTCACAAACTCCTTAGGCTTCATCACAACTGGGTTACTAGGCAACAATGGTAGAGAGTTGCTTTCAAACAGCATAGTCAACCTGAAGTACATGGAAGCTCCAGTTATGCCAACATATATTTAATATCTTTATCTTAAATGGCAGGTTGATGTTCTATTTTTACACTGATATGGGAAAAAATATCTTAACCATCTCCTAATCCACAGCTACTTTATACAATCAAAGGTAGCTATTGTCTATCCTTTCTTAGAACTTCAGGCCTTTCTTTATAGGTCTTCATGCCTTAATCTCCCTCTCCAGCTTCCAAAGTTTATTATGGTACCAATGGCATATCACTCTGGCCCAGGAAAGACTGTGCTTATCAAAACGACTTAGCTCTCAGATTCCCCCACCTTCTCTACTCTACTGGTCATTTTGTAATCAAAACCACATAGATTGTTCTTGGAGAGAATTAAATATCTCATGTGATAGTGGTAGGATAACAGGCCAGGTTCTTGCAATCAATGCAGTTACATTGGACCCTGAAATTACAGTTTGGGTACCTGAATTTCTAAATTTGAATTTCTTAATATTTTATCTTCAAAGTTGAGTTTTTAAAAATAAACTCAAGAAGGGCTATAGATTATGTACTAGATGCTTGAGACTTTGAATCAATTGAGGTTTTGAATTCCATCTTGTCATCTCGTGCCCAAAGATTTAGTCATCTGCTTCTTCAAACCCTGGCATCTTGGACTTCATTCAGATTTTCCCTCCCACCTGCCTTCTGACCACCTGCCTTCCTATCTTTTCTTAGTCTTGGAGCCGGGTATAGGTTGTTGACATCATACCCCAACAGTCAATTCACAGCATACCTATAAGCTACATGGAGTGGAAAATGTCTTTACTCACCAGACCAGATATGAGGTGGACATTATAATCCCATGGACATTGTAATCCCCCAGATGTGTATGGCTGAGGCAGGCCAATAGCAAGAGTTACTGTGTGAGTCAAATCCATCCTCTCTATTTGTTCCAAGCCTCATTGATTCAGCAGGTGGGGAGGAGAACCTGCAGTGGGTGGTTCAGAGAAGGCTGAGCTGCAAGACAGAGGACAGAGGGCTGGAAGAGTCTTTCCTTAACCAGTGAAAAATCTATTAAGAAGTGAAATGTTACCTGAGTGCCACATTCTCATGCTTTAATACTAGCTAATCAAGAGGCTATGACTGATGACAACTGTTCAAAGCCATGACAGAATGTTATGTCCAATTAACTAGTAAAAACTCAGAGGTGGGGGCTGGGAAGGTGGCTCAGTGGTAGAGCGCTTGCCTTGCATGCATGAGGCCCTGGGTTTGATTCCTCAGCACCACATAAGCAAAAAGAAAAAACCCGCAAGTGGCGCTGTGGCTCAAGTGGTAGAACGTTAGCCTTGAGCTGAAGAGCTGAGGGACAGTGCCCAGGCCCAGAGTTCAGGCCCCACAACCAGACTCAAAACAAACAAACAAACAAACAAAAAAAAACTTAGAGGTGGCTAAAGTGGTAGAGTTCAATCCCAGAGCAAAAGAGACAAGCAACAGAACAAGTCACCATGTCCAAACTCCAGTACCTGCACAAAAATAAATAATATAAATAAGAAGTGTGATGCTATGTAGCAAACGACACAGCTTGTCAAATGAGATAGTAAAAACTGTTCAAAGCCATCACAGTCAGACAACTATGAGACAATGTGATGTCCAATTAACCAGTAAAAACACAGAGGTGGAGATGTGGCTAAAGTGGTAGAGCTCAATCCCAGAGCAAAAGAGACAAGCAACAAAACAAAGCACTATGTCCAACCTCCCCAAAATAAATAATAAATAAATAAGAAGTGTGATTCTATGTAGCAAATACCAATGCACAGCTTGTCAACTGAGATAGTAAAAAGAAGAGGCTTGGTATTTTACAACCTTTCATAACATTTCTTTTCCCTTTATTTCTGAACAAAGGCCTCACCCTTTCCTCGTTTTCATTTTATGTCAAGACTTGCAGATTACATAGGCAGTCAGAAAATAGGGATTGGGCAATGTACACTTGCAGCACATTTGGGAATAAATGTCTTCATAATGAAAAGCACAAGTGCTCTACAAAGTAACTGAGCAAAGAAAATCATGTTGTATTGAAGATTCATTAATTGTAATTATGCAAAGTAAGTTTCCTTCCATGATTCACACCTCACACTGTAGGGACTCCTTGGGAGGAATGTATAAAGGGTGAAATGCTTTGGCTGCTTTCTGAAAACATCCTAGAATGCAGGAGCCTATTAATCGGTGGACTTCTCAATATTTATTTACTTGGGATTATCCTTTGCAAAGAAAATGCGTGCAAAAGAAAACAACCAGGTATTGAAATACAATCACTGGAATTATCCAGGTTTATAGATTTCCAGAGAGATGAAATGTCACTATAGATTTTCCTTGCTAAACAGACTATGTGATTAAGGATACAGACTGTAATTTTCTGTGGTTTTCTATGATTTATTAATTACACTGTTCAAAGGGTATAATTTAGGCAATATCTAAAAATAGATAATCAGCTAGTTTGTATGGTATGATTTTTCTTCTTGATTGTTAGAACTCAAAGCAATTATTGTCTACCAAAAGCAAGGGCAGAAATAAGCAAGCTTCCACCAGCAGAAGTATGAGCAGCGATGTCTCCCAGCCAGGGTTGGAGTTCTGCTATGACCATGTGAATGGATCCTGCATCAAGACTCCCTACTTACCTGGGCCAAGGGTGATCCTCTACTCGGTGTTTGGCTTCGGGGCTGTGCTGGCAGTGTGTGGGAACTTCCTGGTGATGACTTCCATCCTTCACTTCAAGCAGCTGCATTCCCCAGCCAATTTCCTCATCGCCTCTCTGGCCTGTGCTGACTTCTTGGTGGGACTGACTGTGATGCCCTTCAGCATGGTCAGGTCTGTAGAGAGCTGCTGGTACTTTGGAGCCCAGTTTTGCACCATTCACAGTTGCTGCGATGTGGCGTTTTGCTACTCGTCTCTCTTCCACCTGTGCTTCATCTCCATCGACAGGTACATCGCCGTCTCGGACCCTCTGATCTATCCCACCAAGTTCACGGTGTCCGTATCAGGAGTTTGTATTGGCGTCTCCTGGATCCTGCCCCTGCTGTACAGCGGCGCCATGTTCTACACAGGCATCAGTGACGAGGGGATGGAAAGCTTGGTAACTGCCCTCAATTGTGTAGGTGGCTGCCAAGTAGTTCTCAATCAGGACTGGGTTTTGGTACATTCTCTGCTGTTTTTCATACCCACCCTTGTTATGATCATTGTCTATACTAAGATTTTTTTGGTAGCTAAACAACAAGCTATAAAAATTGAAAGTACTGTGGGTAGCAGCAAAGCAGAATCATCCTCAGAAAGTTACAAAACCAGAGTGGCCAAGAGGGAGAGAAAAGCAGCCAAAACTCTGGGGGTCACGGTGGTAGCCTTTATGGTCTCGTGGCTACCATATACAATTGATACATTAGTTGATGCTTATATGGGATTCATCACCCCTGCCTTTATTTATGAAATTTGTTGCTGGACTGCCTACTACAACTCAGCCCTGAATCCTTTAGTTTATGCTGTATTTTATCCTTGGTTTCGGAAAGCCATAAAACTTATTTTAAAAGGAGAAATTTTCAAGAGTAGTTCATCAACCATGAATTTATTTTCAGAATAAATGGGAGCACTATTAGGGAATAATTTATTTTCAAATTAAGGGATTTGTGTTTAAGTATAAGAAATTAAAATCGTTTAACTAGGAATACAGGTGGACCCATTGCAACAATGAGATGTACAAGTCATTAGGTCGAAAAACGAACTTTACAACTTTGGTGAGGGGTGGAGGGAAGATCGGGTGGGGGGAGGGGGAGAGTATGGGAAGGGATGGGAAGGGGAAACAAAGAGGAGGCAACAATGCTTGGTAAGAAATATACTCGTTATCTTGCCCATGTAATTGTAACTCCTCTGTACTGTATTCTCACAATAAAAAAAATTATATATATGAAAAAAATTTAAAAAAAGGAAAGAAAGAAATTAAATGTGTAAATGTTTTTAAAATTCTGAATCTTAACCATTTTAAAGAACAGACAATTATAGGGAAATTAAATAATTAAATGTATGAATATTTGCTGCACTAAAAATTTAAAAATTGTTTACTTACATCATATGTATCAAAGTTTTATATATATATACATATATATATGTACATATATATATATATATATATATATCCTTGCTACATGCATTGATTTCTTTCAGTCCCTTAGTTACACATAATTTATCTCTACATGGTTTACTTTTTTTTCTTGTGAAATAATTCACTAGTTTGCTTGTGCTACCTTAACCAAGTGCCACACTCTGACTTGAATTCCAGAAATGCATTCTCTCACAGTTGTCCAGGGTACAGTTGAACCATGAAAGGACCTGCAAAGCTTTCTCTAAACGACTAGTTTTCTCTGTTAGGCTTACTGGTGTCTCTTCTATTATCTTCCTCACTATCTGACCAGTGTCCTGATCATCTCCTTTTACTAAGACACATGTCATTTTAGATTCTGGCCCAACCCAAATACCTCATTCTAACTTAATTAATTCTTTAAAGTCTACAGGCCTTGTGGTTTGGACTTCAACATTTAAATTTGGGTGACACAATGACAATACTATCAGTGAGGCTGTTTGCCACTGCTCTTCAGGGTGTGTCCTTCTCCTCTGTCAATGTTTGTGTATCTTAGGTGTCTTGAAAGCAAGGTAGGTGTTTTTTGTTTATTGGCAAGCAGGATTCTTGCAATGTTCACATATTAATGTGAGACCAACAACTCAGCCTTGGGATCATGTAGTAATGACAGACACTATTCAAAAAATTTGCAAATGGACAATCTGCCAAGAAAAAAAGACACAGTGATCACTGTATACCAGTATCACCTTATATAGTGGGAAATTCACTTCTGCGATTTCTATCAATAGTTTTGGTCACTTAACAATAGTATGTCCCATGCTCCATTTTTATCGCCAGAAACATGTCCAATGACAATCAATAGATGCCCAAAACCTTGGATAATTTTGAACTCAATTTATACTGTGCTTTAAAAATGTATACTGAACTATGTAGAAGCTTAATTACTAAATTAAAAACAAGCCATCAATGGCAATTATTACTAATCAACAAGAATGGTAGCAAAATACTATACTAAAAGTTATATGAATTTGGTTTCTCTTGTAAAATGTTTTATTGTACTTTGCTCAGCTCTTTTCTTGTGATAATGTGAACTGGTACAGCACTCAGATAATAAGAATGATTATTCATCAGGTGCTAGAAATGCAACTTTTGGAGTTAGAGGAGGAATAAATAAGCTAGAACAAGCTTATTTTTTCCCTTACAATTTCATACATTTGATGTTAGCAGAGATAGAAACATTTTCAACATCCATTTTTTTCTTTCCTTATTCACTGAAGAACTTGTACTTTTTCATTTAAAGGAGGCAAGGTTTCTCTTTGGTAAATATGAATTCACAATACCACTTATTATATGCTTTGGAGCCATAGTTAAGAGAATAAGTGTTCTGTGTTAATAAAACAGGTCTGATAACAAAGATGCCTAATAACCCAGCACCTAATAGATAGGAAAGGTATAGAGTGTGCATACAGTGGACAAAGAGAGGATTCATGATACTTAAATAGTGTTCAATTAAAAACCAGAAATTTTCAATTCTGGCATTTTAAAATTTAATATTTTCTGACTGAAGTTGGCTATGGCTAATTCAAATTAACAAATGGCAGACTGGAGAGAGTACTTGGAGAAATTATGGGACAACACTAGATTTTATTTCCCTAAAAAGATATAGGGTCCAAATTTTTTTATAACTTTTTTTTTTTTCGGTTGTAGGGCCTGAACTCTGGGCCTGGGCTCTGTTCCTCAGCTCTTCAGCTCAAGGCTAGCACTCTACCACTTGAGCGACAATGCCACTTCTGGCTTTATTTCTTTTTGCTTATGTGGTGCTGAGGAATCAAACCCAGGGCCTCATGCATGCAAGGCAAGTGCTCTACCACTGAGCCACCTTCCCAGCCCCCAGGGTCCAAATTTTTATTGATCATGGAAAAGAAGTATATAATATATGTTAAAATATTGAAACATATTGAAAAATAGCATAGAGATGCATTTTTTAATTGTATGGTTTGTTTTTGAGAATATTTTATACTGTTGATTTAGAAGAAGTCATTTTGGAATTCATATCTAAGATACTTGTATAATCAAAAGAAATTATGCCAGGATAGTTCTAGATAAACAGTTTTTATAATTGTGTTTTTATTATCTGTGAAAGTAATAATTGGAACTTTTAAAGTAGCTTTTGCATTGGTTTCCAATTAGGCTTCTAATTCTTTTCTAACAAATTATGAACATAAGTAAATGTAATTATCTGTGTCAGGAATAACTAAGGAAAATGCATTTTAGTTATCATATTCTTTAAGTAAGATCATTTTGAGGATAATATAGCAGCACATGTGAAATGATACTAATGAGGTCCATAAATGTCTGGGATGCTATGGTCTGTGAGTGAGCAGAGGACCAATTACCAAGAATGGAACTTCATGCTGGTCGTTTACATATCATTATCCTCTCACCAGCATGTGGTGAAGACCTGAGGGAGCTAAACAAAGAATTAAAAGAGATTTTCTTTTTGAGTAGGAAAGTTTTTTGTTGCTATTGTTATTTTTGCGGGTCCTAGGGCTTCAACTCAGGGCCTGGGTGGGTGCTGTCTCTGAGCTTTAGTGCTCAAGGCTAGCACTCTACCACTTTAAGCTCAGTTCAATTTTCAACTTTTTTGGTAGTCAATTGAAGATAAGAGTCTCACAGACTTCTTACCTGGGCTGTCTTTGAACCATGATGCTGAAATCTCAACTTCCTGAGTAGCTAGGGTCACAGCATGAGCCACCAGTGCCTGACTAATTTTTTGATGGCTCTTCAAGCATCATAAGTAAGAAGGAATGTGTGTACCTTTTGCTGACAATAGAATTAATTTTTCTAAGTGTAGGCTGGGCTGGCAAATTGAATAAGTACACCAGTAGCAAGATGATAATAGGAGTTGTTTCATGCCATCACTTACCTCTGAATAGGCTTGGAATATTACACAAATGATATCAAGATATTTTAGAGTGTGTAAACAAACAAAATTAAATGAAAGAGATGGGTAATAGTTTCATTCAATATTTTTTCTAGAACTGCACTGTTGATAAGTTAAATTATGAATGTGATGGTTCACAAGTAAGTGAAAAAAAAATAAATTTTCCCTGAAAGCAAGTAACACAGTTCGTTATGAATGATGCTCAACACCTCAATGTAATTCTAAGCATTCTATGTTAAACTTTACATAAAGGAAAAAAGATCATGGCTTTTTTATTTTATTTTTTTGGGTCCGGTCGTGGGGCCTGAATGAACTCTGGGCCTGGGCGCTGTCCCTCAGCTCTTCAGCTCAAGGCTAGCGCTCTACCACTTGAGCCACAGTGCTATTTCTGGCTTTTTTCTTTTTGCTTATGAGGTGCTGAGGAATCGAACCCAGGGCCTCAGGCATGCAAGGCAAGCGCTCTACCACTGAGCCACCTTCCCAGCCCCAAGATCATGGCCTTTTGATTGCACAAGTATATAAGAGAATTGCTGGACTCAGTTACCTTGCTGGCTATAATTGGCTGAATTAGAATTGGACAGGATTCTAGAGAAACTCATCAATTCTCAACAGAGTTGAGAATTGAGGCTGTATTTCTATGGTTGTGTACTTGAGTAAATGTTAAGCTAGAAAAAATAGAAGACTAGATTAAATCTGATATTTTTTTCTATTCATCTTTTTTTAATCACTATCTTTAGGTAGATATACAATCGAGTTGTTATTTAACAAAGCAGTTTATAAATACAATATATCTTGATCAATATCACCCCTTTCAATATTGTTATTCAAGAAAATATAAACTAAGACACTGGAGCAGGTTAACGTTGAAGATTATAACAAAGTTTTCCAGATTTTCCAAAGATCTAGTTCCTAAGTTATGATTTCTCATGTTTCCTTAGTTAATATAATACAAAATAGGTTTCAGCAGTACATGGAAGGCAAACCTTAGAAGAATTCTTTGTAGGGTCCAGATGAAGACAAGGTAATCTGATATGGTCACATCATATAAATACTGTTTTAGAAGTGACTAATAGTACAATGAAGTGAGAGAAAGAATACATAAAGAAATTCATGCCAGGTACTGGTAGCTCAAGCCTATAACCCTAGCTACTCAGGAGGCTGAGATCTTAAGATCATAGTTCAAAGCCAGCCCTGACAGGAAAGTTTGTGAAACTCTTATCTCCAATAAACCACCAGAAAACTGCAAGTGGTGCTGTGGCTCAAGTGGTAGAGCCCTAGCCTTGTGCTGAAGAGCTGAGGGACAGCACCCAGGCCCAGCATTCAAGCCCCAGGACAGACAAAAAAGAAAGAAAGAACAGCCGGGCGCCGGTGGCTCACGCCTGTAATCCTAGCTACTCAGGAGGCTGAGATCTGAGAATCGTGGTTCAAAGCCAGCCCGGGCAGAAAAGACCGTGAGACTCCTATCTCCAATAAACCACTAGAAAACCAGAAGTGGCGCTGTAGCTCAAGTGGTAGAGCGCTCGCCTTGAGCTGAAGAGCTGAGGGACAGCGCCCAGGCCCA